GTCGATTAGTAATAGGTAGAGCAGTCGGTTCTCTGTTTTCTCTGTCTTTACTGGGAATCATTTTAGTCTACTTTGCATTTTGGACGCCCCGATCTGCCAGAACAGTCCAAAGTACTTTCTAGCACATTTTTGCACATTCGCTTTGTTCAAATTTATCGTTCCTTTGTTACATTTGGGTTAATTTAATATGCTTTTTTGTTGTGAAATGTGTAATATTGTATCATTTGTTCATCAGCAGATGATTGGCAGGTTGCACTATTCCCGCGAAGCTCTCAGTAATATCGTTACGAAATTTTTTCCACAGACTTTCCGGAAAGTGTCAGAAACGGTCGTTATACTTGAATGTTCAATGCAAAATAGCATTGCCATTTATTCGCTGTGTGCGAAAATTAACTGTGATAATCGTGCATTTTTGTATATGCTGAAACATGGAGTTCCTTTGTGACTCCATTCAAGCAGTAAACTTTCTTTCATCAGTAATTTAAATGTAACATTTACCGGGAAACTGAAAAGTTTACATGCTATCTCTTCCAGGTCATCAGGTTATATTTTATTCCATTCTGACTGTTTAATCATTATTCAATAGTGCTTGTTGAGATCGTCATCTTGAGCCGCATGCATAACCAGAACGTCTCTGGCTTGTAATATCCGCCATATTCACAGCTTTCTTACATTTTGCCATAAGGTCCCGATTACTGCACTGCAGAAGGAACAATTAATTTCCGAAACCAGATATATCTTGTTCATCCACGGATATCTGCCGTGTTTCGGCTCCCATATGAGAAGCTTATGGACTGGAGTAACTTATTTATAAAACCAGTTTGTGTAGCAGGACCAACTACCTGCTGTCAGTATCCACATTAACTGAGATCACCAGCGTCCAGAAGAAAACAGTCACTTCTTATACGTGGCCCTGCCATTTAACCCTCATTATGCGTCGCAAACAACGCTGCTGTATTCAATTCAATCGTTGTTCTTGCTCCTTCATTAGAATATTTGTAAAACGTATTATTTAATTAACGCCTCAGTATTTTCTATATGCGTTATGGAGCCCACCGTATAAAATAAAGCTCCATTGTTAAGGTCCGAAATCAAAACAAGAAAAAAATATGGCTGAGGAGAAGCCGCACTTTTTGAAAAGTGCAAAAATCTCGTTAAGCGCATCAAGCAGTCTCTTTACCAGATTGCAGTAGGTCAGGAACCTCAGCTTTGAAAACCAGCCACCGTCGGTAAGCGTTGGAATGTAGAAGACGTCGTACGCGAGGCACACGACATAAGTCATGATGGTTATCAGGTAAATCAACAGCCTGGTCCTTTGCAAGGTGATGTCGGAGAACACTAAAAAAAACACGGTTATGAATTTAGCATAACTCAACATGGAATAAGAAAAAATTTATATGCCTGACGCCTACTAGCTACGGGGACCGACTGACGAGTAGTAATCGACACAAAACGAAAGAATACATGAAAAACGGCGAAACCGTCTACATCCACCAGTAACACGAATCCGGGACTGCCGCTGATCTGTTTCGAAAGACTGACTTCGAGGACGACAGCGACGATAACGATTCAGGAAAATGCCAAAAGATATTTTGTGTATAATGAGCTGCCTGAATAGTCGATCCGTCATCAACAAGTGTTATTCAGAAAACTGGCAGCAGTAAAGCTAACGGTAATTTACGAGACTGCGCATCAATCATCTCAACACAAACGAACAATGAAGCATCAAAGTTCTTATGTGACCCATTACAACACTCATGCCCAAGATGATGGTTGGTTCGGGCAAATGAAACTGTTGTTGGGGCTGATATAGCTCTGAGCGGTAGGTATGAGTTATGCTCTCGCGCTCCAAACCACGAAAACCGGCTCACACTGATTTATAGCACCTGTCGAGCACACGCTCGACCACTCCTGTACCTCATCACTATGATCGGCTCCACGATTACGTACTGGCGAATTGCTTCATCGAAGGACTTAACGAGATCGAAGATCTGATTGGTAAACGGTTGCCAAAACGACATCATCGGCAGAAATAAAAGTTTCACATGTGCTGTCCAGCATCTGCAGATTTCTACCCTAAAAATTAGATGAACTGTTCACTTTGATGAGTCTGCCAGTGTACCGCAATGCATGCAAACTGATGATCCAAACAATTATGGCTCTCCTCAGCTAATGGTAACTAGATTGTAGCCATCGATAATTAGACTGCCTTCGGCGGGATAGACCACTGGTAAAGAAAGCACGTGACAGTGGTGTTATAACTAGATAAACAGATCACAGAGGCAAATTCGTCGGTATAGT